AATAAAAACCATGAAATCTATCATGCTTCTCTTCTTGTTGGGCTGCCAGAAAGTTCCAAAGTAAATATCAATCTTCAAGGAAAATTATCTTCTCTAAGACTTTGGATATGATAAACTACTGCTTTTGCTTCCCCATCTCTTTATGGCGTCTTGTCCTCTTTCATCTAAAATATGCTTTTGTAAGCATAAAGTATAATACAGAAAAGAAAAACAAAGGAAATGATGTAGCATAGTAACACAGGATTTGGGTAGCGAGTATTCTGCACTTAGAGACACATTAAAGGTATCAGCGAGTTGTGTGCTGCTCTGATCGACTCTCAGCTCCTCAAGGGCATTAAGCCATTTCTTATTCATCTTTGCATTCTTGTGAAATGCAACCATGTCCAGCTCAGAGTAGACAGGTACCAAAGGTGCAATGACAGCAGGTATCATTTATTTGTAAATTGAAGGGGTTAAGGCCTTATCCGAACACTGTTAAGATGTTTTAAACACAATATGGTGGGTGATTAAATACGAGTCAGTGACACAGACAAATCTGTGGTAAGGGCAACTCTTCAAGGCCTCGATTAGAAGACTTCAAGCAGGAGATCAAACACTGAACTGAGCTTTGAATGCGGCATCTCTTTTGGCTCCTTGGAAGCATACTTCAGAAAGGAGTCAGAGAACAAGGAAGGGGAGAACATATTCAGAGGCAGTAAGGAGGCTATTCTGGCTGGAGGGAAAGAATTTTGTACACACACACACACACAGTATAGGGTAGAAGCTCAAAAAACCAGTCAAGGACACAGTGTGGAGAACCCTGAATTCCAAGAACTTCACGTTTTAGAGTTTTAGAAAGTTATATGTTCCTGAGAACCTAAGTGTTACTGAAAGAGAAGTTTAAGGAAGATCAGACACATCCAAAATGTAGAATGGATGAAAAAGAAGGGAACCTACCAGGATGTGGGCAAGCGTAAGGCACTAAGAATCAGGTGAAATGTGGCCACAAATTCCCAACAGTCAAGTCAACAAAATTTGTTGAGTAATGTGATATGGAGAAAGAGAAACACGGGAATCAAATTTTAATCGGAGACTTGAGAATAGGTGGCCAGGAGAATACTGATTAATAGAAATGGGAGACAGCGGGAAGACATGATTTTATAAGAAAGATGATGACTTTTATTTTAGACAGAGTTGAATTTAAGATAACAGTGGCTACCACCTCCAGCCCCTTACTCCCTGCAGTGCCATATGTATGCAATCTGCTAGTCTTGGCTAAGAAGAACTTCCCTGAATGGTATTCCCACATAAACACAAATAAACACAGTGGAGAAATCCTTTCATATAATATAATCTCCTTCTATAACTGCAAACTCAAATTTAAACAGATAAAATTGTAAACACAAAAATAAAAAAGCTCCAAAAATTGTCTACTTCTACAAAAGTATTGTGATTGTACATTCAGATGTTTAAAAAACAGTATTATATGAAAAGATGCTCAACATTATTTAGTCATGAGGGAACTAGAAATTAAAACCCCAACGAGATACCAATTCACAAGTACTAGAATGGCTGGAAAAAAAATTTTAATCTAATAGTAACGAGAAATTACATGGATGTAGAGCAACTAGAACTCTCATACACTGTTGGTAGGAATGCAAACTGGTACAGCCACTTTGGAAAACACCTTGACAGTTTGTTTCTTAAAAAATTAAACATATGCCTTCTGTATGACCCAGGGATGCTACTCCTGGCCTCTTACCCTAGAGAAGTAAAAACCTATGTCCCTACCAATACTATATGCAAATATTTACAACAGCTTTATTTATAATCATCAAAAACTGGAAAACAAGTCAAATGTGTATAAACTAGTGAATAAATTGTAACATATCTATACACATATGGAATACTACAAAGTAAAATAAAACAAACTACCAGTACAAGCAACAACATGAAAGAATCTCAAAAATATTACATTAAGCAAAAAAAGCAAAGCATAAGATGGTATAATAGTACCCTGTATCTATTTCTATGATGTTCTGGAAAACAGAAGACTACAGAACAGTGGCTCACAGGGGCTGTGGGTAGAGGAAGGGCACTGACTACAACGCGGCATGAGGGAACTTTCTGGGTTGATGGAAATACTCTATTTTGGTTATGGTGGTGGTTATAAACATTTATTGAAACTCATAAAAATGTACATGTATAAAGGGTGAATTTTATCATATGCAAAGTATTCCTCAAGAAACCTGACTTGATAGAAAAAAAAAATTGCAGCATCTTAACATTTGCTCAAAGAGAATTTTTAAATCACAGCATTGTCATCTATGATTACGCTGAAAAATTCTGGACATTTCTTAACTAGCTAGAATTCTACAAATGTCCTTAATATTGAAAAGAAATAAACACTATGCTTTTTCCTTCTTTAGGCCTCGAAACATTCCTTTGCAGAGTTAGGGCATAAGGATGTTAGAGTGTGCAGAAGCTGTGTGAATGCTGGTTATTGAGACACTAATAAAGTAAGTCTTGTTTGCTGGACAGCTGTTGGCTTCATTGTTCTTTTGTCACACACTAAAAAGGAGAGCTGTTATGCTAATGGAATGTGACCTTCTCATTGGATAGCTGTTACATCATGACCTGAAACACTGCCCGAGAACTCTATTTTCACCACGCACCACATAGGAAATGGTAAAACAAAAAAAACAACAAAAGAGCCAAAAAACTGTATTAAATGAGCAATACTCCTCCTTAAAATCAGATCACTTATAAGAAATACTTCTCAATACCTAACATCCCATAATTTACTTTGCTAATGACTGTTTTTTCTCAATTTAGTATCTTTTAGTATATAACCTCAACAATTTATTTCTAAGCCCAAATAATTTTTATGATAATCCTCAAAAGGCATTTTGTAAGAGCACTCCATGACTAGTAAATCTATAAAATTGTGAGAGTAATTTATTTATTTTTGTATTAGCTAATGCCTACCTAGATTATTTTATGGCCTGGTCATTTATGACATCTTCACTAGAACAAGGGCTTTCAAAGTTTCTGGACCACTATCCACAGCGAGAAATACATTTTACATTGCAACCTAGTACAGATACACGTGTGTGTGCATGCATACATAACACTGAGGTCTTACAAAATAAGACTTACTCTTACCATTTAAGATGCCCTCTACTATATTCTTCTTTATTATTGTCTTTAAAATGCTGACAAAGACCCACACAATTCATATCACAGCCCACAGTTTTCAGTATCACCGCACCAGAAGGTGAAAAACCAATGCAACGCCTCTGCATGTTTTGAATATAGGCTTTTTAAAATGTGTTTTGTTGTTGTTGTTTTTCAAGTTCCGGGGTATGTGTGCAGGATGTGCACGTTTGTTACACAAGTAAATGTGTCCCATGGTGGTTTGCTGCATGTATCAACCCATCACCTAAGTATTAAGCCCAGCACGCATTAGCTATTTTTCCTGATGCTCTCCTTCTCCCTCCCAGGCCCCTGTCATTGTGTGTTGTCCTTCTCCCTGTGTCCATGTGTTCTCCTTGTTCAGCTCCCACTTACAAGTGAGAAGACGCAATGTTTGTTTTTCTGTTCCTGCATTAGTTTGCTGAGGATAATGGCTTCCAGCTCCATCCATGTCCCTGCGAAGGACACGATCTCATTCCTTTTTTATGACTGCATAGTATTCCATGGTGCGTATGTACCACATTTTCTTTATGCAGTCTATCATTGATGGGCATTTGGGTTGATTCCATGTATTTGTTATTATAAATAGTGCTGAAATGTACATACGCATGTATGTATCTTTATCACAGAATGATTTATATTCCTTTGGGTATATACCCTGTAATGGGATTCTGAGCCAAATGGTATTTCTGGTTCTAGGTCTTTTGAGAAATCGCCACACTGTCTTCCACAATGGTTGAACTAATTTACATTCCCACCAACAAAAGTAAAAGTGTTCCCTTTTCTCCCAAGCTTCATCAGCATCTGTTGTTTCTTGACTTTTTAATAATCACCATTGTGACTGGCGTGAGATGGTATCTCACTGTGGTTTTGATTTGCATTTCTCTAATAATCAGTGATGTTGAGCTTTTTCTCATGTATTTGTTGGCTGCATGAAAGTCTTGAGAAGTGTCTGTTCATGTCCTCCGCTCACTTTTTAATGGGATTGTTTTTTTCTTTTAATTCGTTTACGTTACTTGTGGACTCTGGATATTAGACCTTTGTCAGATGAATAGGTTGTAAAAATTTCCTCCCATTCTGTAGACAGTCTGAACGCTCTGACGGTAGTTTCTTTCACTGTGCAGAAGCTCTTTAGTTTAATTAGATCCCACTTGTCAATTTTGGCTTTTGTTGCAATTGCTTTTGATGTTTTCCTCATGAAATACTTGCCCATGTCCATGTCCTTAATGGTTAAAACATGTTGTTTTTTATAAATAGCTCACTGACCTTCCCCAAGGTTGTCTCACAACTCACCACACTCTGCTCTTTCCCTCTGGAGGCTCCTAGTCCTGGCTGGAGTGAGCAACCAAGATGGAAGGGACAGTCAGAGCCCTGAGACCCTGCTGCTCCCCATCCGAGTGGTCCTTATATAGGGTGCTGGGGGAGCTGGTCCTTCTTAGTCTTTAAGTATTCAAGGCTTTGCATTTTTCCTCTCCCATTTACCCTCACTGTTAGTCTTTGACTTCTAAACACACACACACACCCAAAGCAAAATGAAATTTAACGGTGGAGAAAGAATGGCAATATGGAAAAAAGTAAAGCTAAGTTTTTTTTATTATCTATGGATTTCAGTGCCACCTGCTATGCCTATTTCCTAGGAGCACAGCCACCTGAACAAGTTTAAAAGGCTGAAATTGCATGTAAATCACACATAAAATGTATTTTCAACTGCTAATAGGTTTCGGTTGCTGAACTTCTAGTCAACATTATGTTCTACTCTTTCACACTCAAACTATTAGGTATGTTATAATTAGAGATAAATTTTATGTGAAGATTGAGAAACTTACTTTTAAGGACTCCCATAAGGGAAACTGGACCAGAGAAAAAGGAATCTGAAGAGAGAAAAAAAAAAATCAAATAAATTAGGCAAAAAAGAGCCAAGTTTGCCTGTATGACTATACGAGCCTGTAATTATTACTTCAACTTTACAACAAAGCTAATATCAAACAAATTCACAGTTATAGTAGACATAATGTTTAGAAAAAGAGTTAAACTGTGGCCTGTGGATTTTCATTTTTTGCTGAGATGAAGTCTCGCTCTGTCACTTAGGCTGACAGATCACCACCCTCGACCTCCCAGGCTCACGAGATTTTTCCACCTCAGCCATCAGAGTAGCTGGGACTACAAGCACACGCCACCACACTCAGCTAATATTTGTATGTTTTCTTTAGAGATGGGGTTTCACCATGTTTCCCAGGTTGTTCTCAAACTCGTGGGCTCAAGCAATCCACCTGATTTGGCCTCCAAAAGTGCTGGGATTACAGGCGTGAGCCACTGAGCCTGGTGATCTTCTAAGTTTTGAGCCCAAGGGACATAAAATGATGTTGTGAAGCCCCTTTGAAATGGAAGGAGAAGCACAACAGTCTGGCTACTGAAATGACAAAATAAATATTTCCCAGCATAATGAAAACACTTTAGGACTTGACATTTCTGTGCTTAAGAGCCAAGGCTGTCTACTCCTTAGCAGGCAAAGTGTTAGGATTTGAAGGAGAAACCCAGAGGAGAGAGAAGAAAGGTAAGGTAGGGGGGAAAGTGTTAGGGGAATGAGGAAACAACAGAGAGGAAAGAGGGAGCAGGAAGAGAAGGGGAGAGAGAAAGGAGTGGAAGAAAAGGAAAAAGTAGAGAGAGGAAAAGAGGCGGGTAAAAAAGGAAGCAGGAAAGGGGAACAAAAGCAGGGAGGTAGAGGGTGCCGGGGCAGAGAGGAGGAGGACAGAAGACAGAAAACAGAGGGCAGAGAAGGAAAGAAGAGGGAGAAAAGAGGAGGGAGGAGGCTGGAGGGCAAGGGTAGCTGGAGGGAAGAAAGAGGAAGCAGACAGAGCTACCTACAAGAGTCAAACTTGAGAAACAGGACTCCAGGAACGGAGCAGCCAGTGTGGGAGTGGGAAGTCCACACCCCTCAAGGAAGGATCACCAAGTCAGTCAATGCTGGGGGACTGGAGAGGTTCTAACAAAACACAGCGGGACGTGGGTCTGAGCGCTGATCAAGTCCCAGGCACAGCTGGGGAGGGGAGTCATCTGTAGTAATGAAGTATGAGCGGTCAAGAGAATCGCCACACTTAAGAGTTAGGTATTTACAATGAGCTGTCTAACAGTAAGGGCTAGAACCACCAACACTTCTCATGTGCCAGATATCTGCAAATAAGCACTCTGTAAGCTTCATTTCACTGAATCCTCATAACGCATGCTGAGACAGTTAAGTAGTATTACTTCCTTCATTTTATAGTTGACGAGAATGAGGTTCAAAGACGCTGTGTAACTTGCCTAAAGGCAGTTAGGAGGTAAGAAGCCCAGACAATCTGACTCTAGAGTTTTGTCTAACTACCACTATCCCCAGGAGACATCTAAATTATCTGCATATAAATTCACCCACAGTACAATCTGTTATTAATTTTCTGAAATTCAAACTTAAGACACCCATGTCATATTTCCTAAGATAAAAATGTCTTAACACCAGTGGACCCCACCCAGCAGCTGAAGTAATGTCCAGTCACAGCCCAGGGGACCAGTGCTGGTGGTGGTGATGCCCATGGGCACGCACACGCCATGGGCCCAGTACTGGCATTGCACAGGCAGCCCAGCTGCAAGGGAAAAGTAAATGTGGACTTTGAACATTATCACTATCACTACATGTGGGTGGGTAGGCGTGGCTGTAATGTCCCAGTTTCAGAGGAATTAATGGGTATTTACCTTCACGTGAATTGAGGGCATTCTTTCTTTCTTTCTTTGTTTTTTTGAGACAGTCTTGCTCTGTCGGTCAGGCTAGAGCACAGTGGCACGATCTCAGCTAACTGCAACCTCCGTCTCCCAGGCTCAAGCAATTCTCCTGCCTCAGCCTCCCAAGTAGCTGGGATTACAGGCATGTGCCACCACACCTGGCTAATTTTTGTATTTTTAGTAGAGACGGGGTTTCACCATGTTGGCCAGGCTGGTCTCGAACTCCTGACCTCAGGTGATCCACCCGCCTTGGCCTGGCATTGTTATTTCTTAAATATTTATATTTAATCAGAAATTTAAAGATTAGCATCATCTGTCTTACTCAGCTACAGCAAATGATGGCCCCAAATTTGACAGACAGTGACCACAGAAAGAAAATCTGTCTACCATTCAGGAAGGAAATGTCAACGAGAAAAAAGATCAATGTCAACAGCCTGGGCTAGTTTGACAAGCTAGAATCTCAGAGAAGTTTGTTATCATCATAAACAGGCAGCCAGCCCACCCTGAAAGTCAAATTTCCCTAACAGTAGTTAAATTTAGTTTTTTATTGTCACAAAAACATAAAAGCATCTGACACCATCTGTTCTGAAACTCAAGTGTTATATTTCCAATTAATTATCAAAACAATAACTTGACTGTGTAATAGGTTTCTAAAAGCTTTTCTAAATTTTTTAAACTCAATAATATGTAATAAAATATGCCCCAAAAGACAGGTAGTATGATTATGGATTAGTAGGAAGATAAATATTTCACATTTATAAGACGAAAAAAGCTTTAAAATTCACTCTAACGATCCACGTTAGCATCATTCACTTCTCAATTAAAATCACCTACAAATTGCATTGAGTGTTATCTACACTTATTTGGTACTTAATACTTTAGATTTTGAATTCTATCATTAAACATTTTGCCCATTTCCTCTATGAAAGTTACTCACTGAGCTGTTCCTTCAGTTTAAAGAAATAATTTTAAAATCACACATTTGGAACAGTTGGCTGTACTATTCCACTGGGTATTTATTTTAAAAAGAGGGCCGACAGTAAACCCCAGCTTTACTCCCTAAAACAAGATTGACAGTCTAAAGTAATTAAATATGCTATAAATGCCTAAATAATTAAATTTGCTTCTGACTTCTAGTAGTGAAATATCCCTCATAAATTCCTGCTGTGTGAAAATTTTTCAAATATTCTTCAAGTCAAAATTGTATCACACACTTGTTGTCATTTACAATATGAACAAACAATAATGAAAATGTGTTCCACACATGTGAAAGATGGGCTGCCAGCAAATACAGCTCCATAGCTAAAACAAACACTATTCCCAACGTCTACAGAACGCGGGCCCGTCAGAAAGCAAGGTCCCTCCCCACGTCTGCCTTGAAGTTACATAACAGTGATGTTTCTTCAAAACGTGGAATTTTATACCCCCAAACAGATGTAGGCTGTTATTCTAAAATGTTTTATAGATGAAGAAAATGAATAGCTGTACTCAGAGGTCTTATATTCCAAAACACAACATACCCATTTTATTGCACCTAAAGTTACAAAATGGCTCATTGTTGTGACCTGTTTAATGCCTCCATTTAAGATGTTTTGTTTGAATAAGGTTGTTAAGACCCAGGGCACTAATAAGTGAGTGGCAGTAAACCCAGCTACCATCAAAGACACAGATGGAGGGGGAAGAAACCTGCTAAAATTCAACATGGATTCCACTTAGTAATAAACAGAGAAATAATTCTATACAAGAATGCATGTGAGGATTCCAGGTGAAATAGGGATAAAATGAAATCTGGGTGTGGTAAACAGGAAGGGCAAGTTAGGCATCACTAATGAAATAAAGACAAAATTATATTATGAGCACGTTTCACCTATCACAAAGTGTGGGACTAGAATTATCTTTGAAGCCAATCAATGCTTCTAACCCTGTGGTCTTAAAATAAATGCAATCTAATGGTCCTTTAATAGCAAAGTGATTTATAATACAACTGAAGAGACAGAAGATATGATTTCTAAGGTATCATTTAGCCCTAACATTCTATTTTTCAATTAAAAAATTACATTACAATACCAATACATTTTTAAAAAATAAGACTTGACTGTAAGCTACAATGAACATAATGCCACCATGGGTGATCTAGGAAGCCTAAGGACCAAGAAAGTCCATTTAAAAAGCTGTAAAAGCTTTTGTAATTGGCAGAAATAACCAAAAACTCTCTAGCGATAGATTTAAAAAACACAGAAACCGTGTGCAAGACCTCTAGTTGAATGAAGAACAGCATGGAATTGGTAGGCTTGCCATGTATAGCAGAGTGGATCCGAGGACTGGCCCACTGCAATTTTCAAGAGATCTACAAGTGATTCACAGAAGAGTCTCCTTTTTCTTGCATGACAATTTCCAAATTCTAGTGGTTAATTTAGAGTTTTCCATTCTACTGTCCCACCGACAACAAAACCATTCTTTTAAATACTCTGAACCTTTTCCAATTCAACCCCAGGGGTAACCAAGGACAAATGAAGTTGAAGACCTAAAAATTCCTTGTACCAAAGTGATAATTATTCTTAAAAAAACAACAACAGAAGTGAGAACCATTCAAAGCTAGTCTGCTAGTATTCAACATAGCGGGAAAGAATTCCAATAGTAAATACATTCTGATTTTTTTAACAACTACAGTTCATTTATTTATACTGTACCTAAGGAAAAGAGCACATACCCAATAAAAGAAATTAACCTAAAACGGGGAAAATTGAAAGTGAATTACTCCTTAGGTTAATAAAAACTAAAGCATCTTTCCAAAGAAAACATTAAAAAAAAAAAAAACAAAAAACGAGCAACAGAATCTAATAGAGAAAAGGAGATGAGTGTGAGCAGTTTGATTCTTAAGTAAATCTTTCAGATTTCAAGGCCAGGGGCATTAGGAGTATCTCCACACACAACTCAGTACATTAGTCATAAATGCTATCACTGAAGGTAATGATTAGATTTTCTTTTTCTACATTCTACAGAATCATCACAGTAATTTTGTGTAGATGGAACTGGTTCCTAATGTATCAATTTACATGTTAGAGTGCCAGTTATATAACACTATTTTGTAATGAAGATAATGACAATGTCAAATTAG